TCAAGTAGGCCAGTTCTTGAGCAATCATGCCGCCCATACTAACACCTGTAATGTGGAGCTGGCGTTCTTCCGTCCATCCAAGATGATCGATGAGTTCGATCCAGTCTTTAGCCATTTCACTTGTAGAGTATCGTAGCAACGGCTTGTCGGATCCCCCAGTACCTACGATACACGTGAGCACATATGCTTTGCTTAAGATACAGAACACGCACCTCGATTATCAGCTATGAGAGATGCGTACTTTTCGCCTTGCTCATGTCCATAGATCAGAGTTTGCCGCTGCCAGTTTGACTTAAAAGGCATGTTAGGCTCTGATATGAGCATATTTGAATTTTAGTACTTGCCTTGATACCACCTAGTCCCATTATCCACTGTCATAATTAGCAAATTATTCAATGGTGAGACACGTTCTGCCCTGCCCATAACGGAACCTAAATTGAGGGCACAATGAGAGCGAATCTGATCCTCAGTTATGTCACGTGCTTTGAACAGCCGTTTCAAAAGCAGCTGTGCAACAAATTGAAATATCCCCTAACATACAATAAGCTTGATGTCTCCCTTCCCATGAACTTCCCATTCGATATTGAGCGGGCCTCCTCTATTAGCAGCAACAGGAAGAAGTCCTTTTCGTGTGGGCTCCAGGTTCCATAGAGTGTATGGATGGGCTGGGTGAGCCAGCACCTCAGCGACAGTTGGTCTAGCTTCCCTGTACTCAATTTAGCTATAAGACCTTCTAGCGAGGCGCTTCCGCATTCTTACATATCCCATAAAAGTGACTAAATTCTGATCAGTTATTATTACGATGATGGTGAAGAAGAATGGATAAAGAGGGATGCTCAAACTTCGAAGAAGCCTCGGCAAGATGTGGCCCGTGCCAATCGACAAAGCCTTGCTTGAGACGACAATCTCTTTGACGCTCCTAAACAAAGTTGTGTCATTTATGAAGGTACTTACCGTTCCTTATATGGCTCTGGACCTTTGAAACGGATCGAAGTAAAAACTCTGATGTTTTTCACTGAGATTTAACACCACAATCTGCTTCCGAGTCCGTTTCAGTTTTTATCCTATCAGCATCATTCATCACGTTCTGTTGAAAAGAAGTACGGTTCCTAGCGAATATGATCCTTTCTGGATTCTGGCAAAGCCTGGCTATGAAGGCTTCCTTCAAGTGCGAAAAGAGGTGATTTATTTGACCTTATTAGTCTGCCCTAGGGTATTTGCTCCGGCTCTCAGTCGCTACCGCCAGATCTCATCTCGGTATAGAACGCTTCGCAATTGCGATACATCTTCTTAGCTTTTTATCAATTTGGATGCATCTCAAGTGAGACTGTTATATTGCTGCTTGTGTATTGCTTATGCATTTTCCCGAGTGATCTGAAGGCAAGCTACAAAGATCCGAGTCAAATGGCAGGGTATTTGGTAGAAGTATCTATCCTGCACTACAAACACAATCTTTACAGGAGCAAATCTTGAAATTGAGCCTGCTCTTTATATAGTCTGCGGTAGATGTGAGGTTGTCGTGATGGAGTTATTCTAGTTATACGCGCACTTAAAAGCACAGAGAATTTTGAATGACCAAGATTCAAGTCTATGATCGTAAGGGCATGCTCGACATTATTTCAATACCCTAGCTTCATTAAGATGTTATAGTTGAACTATATATGCCCATTGTCGATCCATGACTGATGTATGCTCAGGTGTGCAAGCCACGAGTCTGTCGGGTGAATGTTCACCGAGCACGTCCAGTCCCTACAAAAGACCGCTTTCAACCCCGCAAGCACAATGATTCGACAAAATATATTTCTAACATGTATATTGTGAAATGGCATACATAAAATCTGTCACTCTCGAGCATCATAACATTCCGTTTGGGATTGGGGAGGCAAGTCCGAGGTTGTCGTGGACATTTGAAAATGAACAACAAGATTGGGTTCAGACCTCATACGAGATCGAGATTAAGCGCGCCGACCTTGGTACCAGAGGATATCGTGTATTCACTTCAGATTCTGTTCTCGTACCATGGCCCGCAGATGCGCTGAAATCTCGTGAGGTGGCAAATATTCGAGTAAGAGCAACAGGGGTTGCTGGAGGTACGTTCCCAGGCTCGTTTCAATATAGCCTAACAAGGCTCCGTTAACCTATTCTATATGGTACTAATTCGTGATCTGAAGGCGTACAGAGAACACAGCCTCCCACTGAGGAGCAAACATCCTGGTCAGAATATATCACAGTCGAAGCTGGTTTACTTGAGCGTCAAGATTGGACTGTAAGTATTCTCATTGCATGATCTTGTCGTGTACTACTTGGGGAATTTATGCGTTATGCAAAGCACCACTTCCGAAGAGCATAGCAAAGCTTACATTAACCTCCTGTTCAGTCGGAGTTTGTTGCAGCGCCGAAGACGGAAGCGGCTAACAGCGCAATCACTCCTGCGCTACTACGTAAAATATTCAAGATCAGTAAGCAAGTACGGAAGGCTAGACTGTATATAACAGCCCAAGGAGTTTATGAAGCGCAAATCAATGGTCACCAAGTTGGTGACCAGATTCTTGCTCCAGGATGGACGAGCTACAATTACCATCTGAACTACCAAACTTTCGACGTCAAAGAACTTTTGAGTACCGGAGACCAACTGCTTAATGTAGAACTTGGCGAAGGATGGTTTTGCACAAGACTCGGTTTTGGAGGTGGAAAAAGATGTATATATGGAGATCGACCAGCAATCCTTGCTCAGCTTGAGATTGCTTTCGTGGATGGGGAGATTCTAACAGTGGGATCAGATGAGACTTGGAAAACATCGACCGGGCCAATCATCTCGTCGGAAATATATGACGGGGAGATTTATGATGCATCTCTGGTGAAGAAAGGATGGGACTCGGTATCGTTCGACGACAAGACTTGGAATTCTGTCGAGGTCGTAGACTTCCCTGCGTCCAAGATACTCTCACCAAAAGGGCCTCCCGTGCGAAGAATTGAGACTCTTAAGATTAAGGACGTTATTAGATCGCCAACTGGAAAGACAATTCTCGATTTTGGACAGAACTTGGTCGGGTATCTACAAGTGCGTGTCACTGGCACATCGGGCACCGAGATAGAATTTCAGCATGTAGAAGTGCTCAGTCATCAGGGAGAATGCGCAACTCGCCCGCTCCGTGATTGTAAAGCTAAGGATACCCTCAGGTTGTCAGGCGAAAGCATTGTTTGGGAGCCCAAATTTACCTTCCACGGCTTTAGATATGTTCAAATTGTGGGTTGGCCAGAAGGAGAACCTCTTGACATCAAGGCCGTTGTTCTGCACACTGACATGGAAGAAACTGGCTCCTTTAAGTGCTCAAACAGCGATATAAACCAGCTTCATCAAAACATCAAGTGGGGAATGCGAGGCAACTTCCTGAGCATACCGACTGATTGTCCCCAACGCGATGAGAGACTTGGATGGACAGGCGACATACAGATTTTCTCCCCAACAGCTAGCTTTCTCTATAATACGGCTGGGATGCTTTCAGGCTGGCTTCAGGATCTTGCTGTCGAACAGATCCAAGACAACGACGGTGTGCCACCTCTTGTGTGCCCCAACATTATCGAAGCAAGCTTTCCAAAAGCACAAGCAGCGTGGGCTGATGCTGTCATTCTAACACCGTACGATCTCTACACCGCCTTTGGTGATGTTAAGATTCTGTCTGACCAGCACGAAAGCATGAAAGTTTGGATAGATAAAGCTCTTCCGCGAGAGGCGTCTGGTCTATGGAACCCTACTGTCCACCAACTTGGCGACTGGCTTGATCCAGATGCACCTCCTGATGATCCTGCAAAGGGAAAGACCGACCCACATCTCGTTGCAAATGCGTATCTGGCCCGTATTACGCAAACAATGGCGAAGATTTCCAAGATCTTGGGTTTCCATGATGATTACGACCATTACACGAAAGAAGCAGAGCGTATCACTGCCGCCTTCCGGGACGAATATGTCACCAAGAGTGGCAGACTCGCCCCGGATACAATGACATCTCTCTCACTTGCGCTATCTCTTAATCTTCTGGGAGATTCCAAGGCGTCTGAAGCAGCAGCAAAACGCCTCGTTACGTTGGTGCGCTCTTCCGCTTTTAAAATTGGAACAGGATTCGTCGGCACTCCACTCATACTGCCAGTGCTGGCAACAGCAGGTTATCCGCAGGTTGCATATCGAATGCTGCTTGAAAAGAAGTGCCCAAGTTGGCTATACCCAATCACCATGGGCGCAACGACTATGTGGGAACGTTGGGATAGCATGTTACCCAACGGGAAGATAAATCCTGGATCCATGACTTCCTTCAACCACTATGCTCTTGGTTCTGTTGGCGCATTCCTGCATGGTACTCTAGGCGGAATATCGCCGAAGGAGCCGGGATGGAAGGTTGTTAGAGTCGAGCCTGTTCCTGGAGGGAGGGTTACTTGGGCCAAGGTCGCATTTAGAGGGCCGTATGGCCAGGTACGGTGTGAATGGGAAGTGAAGGATGGAAAATTCACGATCGAGATCTTGATACCGCCAAATTCAAAGGCAGAAGTCAAGTTACCGGGACAGCAGGATATCAAAAGTGCTGGCAGTGGGAGGCACAGGTGGTCGCTGGACTATGAGGAAGGTGACTGGCCAACGGCGCTTCGTGATCCGTTCTCACCTCCTCCAGATGAAGGAGATCCCGTATAAACAATTCTCTTTGCAGATAACAATTCTCTTTGCAGATAGTACATCTTGGGTAGTCTGCCTTTAGATTTTTTTTAGTTGATAAGATAACACAAGAGTATATCGAGGCCCTCCGAAATTTCTACCATATGCGAGATTTTATATTCAGACTTGCATTATTACTTGCCTTATACAAGGCTAAGACTATTCTCTCAGCTATCCTCGCCGGTGACATAGGTTGGGAGGAAATATATTACCTCCAAACCCACTTGAGAGGGCTTTAGGTTGTTGCTAAGGATACCTATACTCACAAGTACAAGGTAAAACACAATGATGTAAGTGATTATCGAGAGATTTGAACTCTGAGCCTCAGACTTACCAGATCAGCATTCTGACCAACTAAGCCAAACGACCCTTCCCTACCTTTTTTATAGAGGAAATCTCATAATTCAACATACCGTCACAGCAAAGGGGTGGGATTACGATAGCGAGTCGTTAGTAGTCTGTGCGGCAGGAGTAGTTTTATGCTCACACAGCTATATTATGAAGGCCAACCTAACCCATGAATCATATGGCGAGCATGAGTTCTAGTAAGAATAACAACCGCATTCTGACAAATGCAGTCACTTGCCCTTGCCAAAAGAGGTAACTTGTCAATAAGAGATTTGACAGAGAACCCACCGACCGCCTATATAAACTCATGAAGCACAAGTGACATTAGTTCCGTAAAAGAAATAAGTCATAACATCAAACGACTCATTGTAATAAAGGATGCCAATTCGACAGGCCCTACCTAAGGTGTGCTAAGGAGGAAAGCTAGTTGTGCGATTGGCTGCTTGTAGCACCCAGTGAAGAAGCGTTGCTGCTAATTACAGCCACCAATCAAACCTCCTTGACCGTAATATAATACGGTTTTTGTTGCATATCGCACAAAAATTAATTAAGAGTTTTTGCTCCGAAGACCATCAAAGGGGGGTTGCTTAGCTTAGCTCGTTGTACACCGAAGCTGACTACCCATGTACTCGAGCCAACACTGCACATTTTCTCTTCCTTATTCGCGCAATAAGGGCAGAAAAATTCGGATATCCAGCATCGGTGAGAGACATGGGGCGACCCTGTAGATATATTTTGAATAAGAATAATAGTGATATACAACTTTTGAAATTTGGGTATTTTGCCCTCGCTTTGCCTCTCATAGGAATGCACCACTAGGTATCACACGAATTACAAATTATCCCCGCTAAAGTGCAACTACTCAACTCAACCCATACACTTGTGTACACATCCTCAGATACCGCTCATGCAGTCATAGTAGGAGGTGCCTGGTATCCCTGAGTCGCAGCAATGCTCTGTCTCCCTATGATCTCCTTCTCTTGCTGCACCAGGACACAGCATCCGCAGAAAGCAGAAAAGAGACAGTCCTCAAGCTGATTGCCCTTGATGTTATACTTCTCCCGAATCTCCCCACGCTTGAAGAAGGTGAGTCTAATATACTGTTAGCATAACTCTGTAATAGTCAACAGAAGGAGAACATACATCCAACTCAGACCACAGCAGTATTGAGCACCCGCAAAGATAAGACAGTCGTTATTGATGCGCTCGTAGCCTTGGAGGCTTGGATTTCGGAGCCGCTCTTGCTGCTTGCCATAGGTGAACCAGGGGCAGAATGTGGTTTTCAGACCTATGTATTTATGTCAATTTTCTGGCTTTAGAGATAGTGAGGCAGCATTTATAGTGATTACATAGGTGAGTGATTCGTGGTTGGCAACAAATGATCGTGAAAGGACTTACATAGGTGATTGTTTGCGGCGATGCCACCATCAAGACAGCCAAACACTTCGTGGCTCCATTCCTCGGATCCAGTGACCACTTTGTAGGAGGGTGTCTCCTTTGGCGCGGGTTGCTGAGTGATCGGGGCACTTTGTTGCTCTTGCTTGATATCCGCCATTGTGAATTAGGGTGTATGAGATATTAGGTCAAAGAATAATAGGATATAATAGCAAAGTAAATGCTAGAAGTGATTTAAAACTGAGCTACAACGACGAGAAGTGACTTAAGGATGATCGTAGAATGAGACGAATCTATATTAACAAAGGAGACAGCCACCTAGCTTTATATTAATCTCATTACTGGGAGAAGAAACCGTTGTTCAGCTCAAGCCATCAGGAACACCCAATCACAACCTTACAACAAAGCTCAATTTGTATCCGTCCAGTCGCATCGATGAGGAGCACTTTTGAGTCCGTGTCACACGGGAGAACTTTATGAAGGTTGCCTTACAAGATGCCCGAACGACAACCACGTCCCCGCAAAACCTGAGACATTCTGACCTTTAAACTTCACCAATCTCGCTCCATAGGGACGGGAAGATGTACAGTCATGAAAATGTTTCCGCTTTCAGCCTCAGTAAAAATTCCAACCAGCGAGGTCGTGCAGCTGAAATTTGTGGCGTTAGTCCTGCCATTTTTAACTTTAAAATATACGGGGTATGAGGTCTTGGCCAAATTGATGGCTTACTTGCATGATGATCCCGTAAAGTCTGTTCTGTTATCTCCGATGTAAATTTGCGTTTGATAGGTGTTCCAATGTATGGTGAGCTATCGAAGTTTGCCTGGATTTATCACGAGAAGAATTCTGACATCAGACTATCTCAAAAATAACCCAGGGTTTCGGGCTTCTGAGAAGCATACGTCAAACAAGTACAATTATGGGATTTCATCGGAAAACCGGCTTGCTCAAGATAATATAGTCGACTTCAACCTTGGTACCATTTCTCAGAATTCGTGGCTTAGGAGAATACTCGTCTTTCTCAAACCCCAGTTTTCCATAGAATTGAATGCCCTTATCATTGGAGAGGAAGCAAGTGAGCATAATCTTTGACGTTCCGGGTATCTTTGTGCCGACGACATCGAGATGCTTCATAAGAACGGATCCTAGCCCGGTGCTGGAGGCTAAGCTCAGTACATTTACTAGAATTAGGGAACAAAGACGACTGACCCTTGTAAAGTTGGAGACAGGTGTATCTCATAACAGTAGATTACCGGATAATCGTCTTCATACGTAGGCATGAAGGAGACAAATCCACGGACCTGACTATCAGATCTAACAAGCAGGTACTTGAGGTCTAAGAGCTTCATCTCCTTTTTCTTTGCCTTTGGCTTCCAGCCGTCTTTCGAATTCTTGTAGTCTCCTAAGCTGGTCTCTTCGATAAGATGGAAGCATGCCTCGAAATCGGGCTTTGAGAGTTCTGTAGCTGGGACAACAGCAATCTCATACTGAACTTGAGTCTTTGGATGAGTCCAGCTTCTCCACTCTGAGCTGAAGACAAAGCAGGGTTAGCTTTTGAGAGAGGAAAGAAAAGGTAGAACTTCTGAGCAAATAATCTATTGATACCATACATTTAGGACCCAATGTGATAGTGAAGCTTTCTGAAGCAACGACATAGTGATCGTAACCCCAATGACAACTTACCTTTGTGGCATGTAGTTCTTCACAAATGAGTCTAGTGGCTCAGAATTCGCTATATCAATTGGATCCTCTGGCTGTGCCATTTTGAGGATTTACAAATTGCTGAGATTTGTTGTAAACTGAAACAGAGGGCGCGTTTCTAACGCGACTGGTGAACCTGGTCACATGCATGCGGCCGCTTGCACCAGAAATCGGCATTGTCCAATTTGTTCAACGGCCGCCTTGAGTATACCAGTTTCTTCAATATATAAGCACCAATTCTTGCCATGATTATACCACGGTCGCTCATTTTCAATCGCACATACGCGACTGCAGCTAATCGCCCGAGTCGTCTTGGGAAAACCATTGGACTCGATCATGTTCGTCCCCTTTAATTGTCCCGTCTTACAAAACATGCAGCCGTTTTATTTTGGGTCTGACAAATGTTAATCTTAACTGGACGAAACAGTTCTTGCAAAGAGCAAAAGCGCTGGCTCTGTGGAGATCCATTGTCAGGGGATGCAGAAGGATTGATGATCCAAGGAAGAGGGAAGAAACGCTGGGTTATGCAAGGGAAGAGTTCAAGAGGAATAAGACAGTTGAGGATATTGTGCGTCAGACTTCTTGAGAAAAGCCGGAGGTTGAAATGCCATACTAACGCAGTTCTTCGCAGTCACAGATTCGCTACTTGATATCAACTGGCAAAACGCAGTGGGACACATGGGAAAGGTATATCGATGGTTTATGACACAAATTCCCTCTAGCTCGCCATCCCACTTGTTGTGACTGTGAGATGTCCGTATACCATGAACCTGAAATGTTATCCTCGAACGCCGTCCTGCGCAAATTTATGATCTATACTTGTACAATTCTTCCTCTAGACAAATGCTGGGTTCGTTTGGCGATGGTATCTTATCTCCAACGCAATTCCTTCTAACACCATACCATTATTTCCCCTGTCGTTGCTTATGCTTCGGGTTCAGTGAACATATGATATAGACAGAGCTTGGTCCTTTCTTCCCACCCTTCCTTCTAACGCTCTGTATCAATGATTAGCATCCATCCGTTCCCTCACTGTCACATCGAGATCCCTCATACCTTACAACCCTCACATAGCTTCTTCACCGAACTCCGGACCTTCATGCCTCTGATCTGCCCAATCTGATCCGTAATGCTTCGTTGTGCCACACCAGCCCCGTTCAGTCCAACCCTGCGCAGCGTATTTGTGTTCGATTGTGGCATGAAGGAAGAAAAACATCTTGTAGGAGCAGATGCAATGGATGGGCGAAAGAGCATTCGCGCTGTGCGCAGGAACGTGGTCGCGGGAATCATGGTTCTGTTGAGAGTTTGTTTGAGTCGTTAGCCAAGTCATGACCTCGGGAGCTTCGAATTGAAGTTATCGCTAGATTTCGAGATTTGCGGCCTGAAAAGTCAGGTCATACTCTCAGATGTAGCCAACCAGAAGAGTATTTTAGCATCTCGACGAATCACAGCTCAGTAATGCAGATCTCTAATGGTGTGTTTGTGAAGTCATAAAATTTCAATTGCATTGAAAAATCCACCTTTAAATGTTCATAATAAATTTTGAGATATTGACAAAACTGCGGCGGCAGTAAAGAATGGCTTTGCTTAACAGTCAGCCTGAATCACGGCCTTCTCTTGTTATACTCTTCTAAGTTGTAATCCAAGTTTAAAGAGCGTATGGCATCAGTGCCATGAGCTGAACACATTGAAATAGCATACTTCATAGCCGGGTGTGAACTGAGGGTTATGGCTGTGCTTTCTCTAATCGTAAACTGACATCGGAAAGTTTGACCTCTAGTTCAGATGCTTTGACGAAAGTTGATATTTAAGTTAAAGGTTTGAGACTTTTCGTATTACGAGGCTAAATATTTTGCATTTTTGCACCACTTTATGCCTATCATATTGTCTATACACTAAATAAGACCACCAACTCCTTGCTACTG